GCACGTATACCCCAGGTGCACACACACAGGTGCAAGCACACACACACACACACACACACGACACACATGCATGCATGCACACACACACAGGTGCAAGCACGCACACACACACACACGACACGCATGCATCCATGCACACACACACACACACGACACACATGCATGCATGCACACGCACACAGGTGCAAGCACACACACAACACACATGCATGCACACACACACACAGGTGCAAGCACACACACACACACAACACACATGCATCCATGCACACACACACGGCACACATGCATGCGTGCACACACACACACGCACGCACACACACACATGACACACATGCATGCATGCACACACAGTCCCTGGGACTTGCCAGGCTCTCTCCCATCTCAGGGCCTTTACACTGGCTGTTTGCTCTGCCTAGAAGGCACTTACCCACATACCTGCTTGGCTCACTCTCTTAACTCTTGTCTCAGATGTCACCTCATAGAGGCCCTCCCTGGCCACATGGCAATGGATGCTGGTGTGCCCCAGCCAGCTCCCCGCCCCTCTTCCCCCCCGTCCCTCGGCCCCTCCCGTTACACCATTACCCAGCTGCCCCCTCCTGCAGACATGGCCCTTGCAGGAGGAGAGCTGCCTGGCCTGGAACATTCCTTTGCCTCTCCCTTTCCACTGCTGGGGCAGCCCGCAGCCAGGCTCCTGCAGCTGACACTACATCCTTGTCCCGCCTTCCCTCAGCGTGTCAGGCACTGTGCTAGGTGTTGGGGGATAGACAGAGTTTTGCCCCATGGAACATGCGGTCTAGTGAGAAAGGTTGATGCAGAACAGGCACTTCCAAATAATTAAATAATCACTGTAGCACAAATAGAGCAGCTCACAGCCTCGTCTGTGAATCACATGGCTTAGGGGAGATGTGAGCCCACCTCCAGGAACCTCTGTGTGAATTAAGCACCTTCTCGCTCATAAACCTGCTCCTTGAAACAGCATGGAGTTAAGAGGTGAGCAAAAGAAGCAGCAGAGATCCAGCCCGAGGACAGGGACCCAGAAGAAGCAAATATTAGGGCTGGGAGGAACTCCTGGGGAGCAGCTGCTCCAGCCCAATGGGAGGCTGGACAGCCTACCTCTAACTCAGCACCTCGTTTCTGAGCAAGCCCAGCCTCCTTGCATTCTAGCTTCATGTTTATCCTTGCTGTCTTGGTGTGGATGAGGAAACTGAGGCAAGGAAAGAACCCGGGACCTGGTGGCCACATCGCTCCAGTCCTCAGTACCTGGCCCTCCTGCAGTCCTTTGTATTTACCCACCTCTCCTGCCCAAAGACTTCCTTCATGTAGGAGAAACGCTGAGATGGAGAGGAGAAGGCCTCGGACCCCTCCCTTTTACCACCTGCATAGGGGGAGCCATTGCCATCTCAACATGACCCACCCAAGGCCACACAGCTGATGAGAGGTCCAGCTGGGCCTGGAGTCCAGGGCTCCTAACTGCTGGCTGAAACTCTACCGCACAAGCTTACCGCCCAGCGTTGAGCCCTCGGGCTGCTCCCCTGTTCTCAGAGGCTCTGTTTTCCCATCTGAACTGGGCACTTGATTCCATGGTCTTCAAGGGTCCTGCCTCCACGGGGATCTCCTTTCCGGCCAGGTCTTGGGAAGGGTGAACAAGTGCATGGGTTCCAGCCATGGTGCGCATTTCCTGATGGCTTTGGGATTCTGTCACACCTTTGCACTCACCATCACCACGGCAATGCAGGAGCAAGGGGGTTTATTTGGCTGCCTGAAAACCAAACACTAGGCTCTCTTAATGGATTTCCAGGAGGTTTCTGCCTTTGCTGCCGCTGTAAGAAAGATTTCTGGCCCTGTGGTTTTGAAGAAAAAATAAGCAGTTATGCCTTTTGAGGTCTAAAATGAGCACTATAACTCCAGGGGAGAGGTGAAGGGGATATTTTGCTGGCCCGCAGAATTGACACCCAACATCTTTCTCAGATCCAGAAGTTATCATTACAAAGAAAAAGGCGTTGCTTTCCTTTCAGCATATTGGGTAGTTGAACAACAGCAGGAAATGGATTTCTCACTTAATTACAGATGTTCACTCTCTCTGTCTAGCCACACGGTCCCGTTGGGTCTCAGCTGGGCTGGGCTCTCCAGCAGAGTGGCAGCATCTGCACAGTACTCCCAGGCCATGTTCCCCCTGGGAATATCCCCGTGTCCCCGCTTACCGATGCTCACAGGGCTTGCCTGCCCACCCAGGGTGAGGCCCTTCATTGCTGTGTCCACCAGAAAGTCTTGCATGTTTGCAAGAGCGTGCTCCACAGCCACAGAGAAGCGTCTCAGCCTCCTTTGCTCCTGGCCCTCTGCTTCCCAAGGAAGAGGCATCAGGAGTCCTGGCAGGTGACACCCAGTTTATTGGGACCCATCCTGTTTTTCCAGCCTCCTGTCCACTAGGCCTGCAAGCCACCAGCTGCCCAGCCTTCCTGGTCCAGGCAAAGCGCTCCTGCCCACCTCCCCATTGCCTTTGATCACAGCAGTCCCTTTGCCACGACTATCCGCCCCCTCCCCACTGCCCCTGCATCCAGCCTGCAGCCCCTTGTTCAGCACCTCTGTCTGTGGAAACCCCTCCAAGCGCACAGCAGCAGCAGCTGCTGCAGGGGCCCTCACTGACTCTCACGGTGGGCCTTGCTCCTTTCCCTGTCTCGCACTGCTTGCCCTGGCTGTGCCCTTTCCCAGAGGCAGCCAGCCACACCCACATCACAACCCCACGCTCGGCCTGAGTGTCCTGGTCTTCAAAACTAAAGGGAAGCCCAGAAGTTACCTTTCCAGACCAGGTTCCCACTGCGTGTATGGTGGGCGGCAGGGGCCTCTCTTCACCATCTTGCAGGAGTCTTCAGCCTCTGCTTGCACACCCCCCAGTGATGGGGTTCACAGTCCCCACTGGCCTCCTTAGAGGCCCCCAGGTCCCACTACCTCCTTGGGGTTCCCTTGCCCCCACAGACATTTTGGGGCTCCCTAAGTCCTCATTAACGTCCTTGGAGCGCCCCAGCTCCCACTGACTTCCTAGGGGTCCTCCAGCCCCTGCTGACCTCCTAAGGAGCCCCCCAGCTCTGAAAGCTGGAGCTCAAAGGTGCAGAGGTTGCAGGGGAACCCCACCCCCCAGAAGGGGAATAGGGGAATTATCTGTACAGAGCACTGGGCCCTCCTTCCTGTCTCACTTGGCGATCAGAGCCAGAGAAGTCAGGTGTGCCAACTCCAAGGTGTGCCCAGGAACCCCATTGTTCCAAGGAAAAGTCAGAATTCAAGATTGCACTCCTTACTGCCTCGCTACTCAAAGTATGATCCTGGGCCCAGCAGCAACAGCGTCACTTGGGTGCTTGATGGGAATGCAGAATCTCAGGCCCTACAGGCTCAACCCTACTGAATCAGAGTCCATAGTTTAACAAGCTCCCAGGTGACTCACATGCACACTAGTTTGAAAAGCCCTAGTTTCCCAGGCCCTAGCTGAAATTCAGTGTCCAGGACCCACAGACAGGAGGGTTCTGGCTTCACAGGGGCCCTGCCTGTCCAAGGGTTTCCAGGCTCCTCTGCGTGCTCCAGCTCAAGGCTTCTGGCGGGTGAGGCCTGTCAGAACCTCAATGGACCAAAAGGCGCTGTGAGCATGGAGTTATCTTTCTTAAGGAGGCTCCTCCCTGCACCTTTGCGAGCAGCTTTCTGCCCTGCACTGCCCTCTCGTGGCCGTTGCCGTCTCATATGGTCCCATCTCTGCAGCCAGGACCCCAAAACCCCAGCTGATGGTGAAAAGAGGACTCGCAGGTCACTGACATAAGGCATAGGGACCTCAAAAAGCACAGTGGAAGCGGGTTGGAAAACACTGGTTTTAGCAGCAGAATACAAATGGAAGCTGCCTTTTTCCCTGGGTGAGGGATCCTGGATCGACCCTCCCTGTCACTGCCCTTTCCTGCACACCTTGTTGGAAGCGGTTCAGAGCTGGAACATGGGCTGGAGGAGAGAGAAAGAGTCCTGTGTAGCAAGGACATGCAGGTAGGAGATTGCTGGACTGATTTAGAGAGCTCTGCATGGTGGCTGCAGTACGCGAGGTGCAGCGAGGTGGTGGAGGGCCTCTTGCTGTGTTGGAACCTAATCTTGTCGGCCAAAGTTTCAACAGAGTAGACTGCATTTGCTTTGGGAGGCTGCTTGGTGGAAGAAGGACTCGGATTGGGACATTGGGAGATGAAGACTTAGTGAGCGGCCGGCCCATGCCATATTTCAGAGCATTAGGGGCTTCATGCGGGCCAGGCTTGGGTGAACAAAGGTGATGCCTCTCCCACACCCCAGAGAGAACGTGTCATCCATGTCCGGAGCTGCTGGGAATGTGAGCTAACTGGCTGTGGGGGGTCTTGAGAGACATATGACCTTGTAGAGGTTCTTCTAGGGATCTGGGACTTCTAACCCCCAGAATTGTGAGAAGCAACATTTCTGTTGTTTAAGCCACTCATTCTCTGGTACTCGGTGTGGCAGCCCTGGCACACTAATACACTAGGTGATGTGCAGACGGGGCCAAGACTGTGATGGTGGTACCCGAGTGACTGAGTTTGGGGAAGCTCGTACTGGCAAAGGCATGGGTATGGCTGGAACCCCAGCGTTGCCGGTTCCTAGCTGTGTGGACTTCAGCAAAATCTAAACCTTTTTGAACCTCGGTGTCTTGATTTGAAGAATGGGGGCCAGTAGTAACCATCTTGCCCGGAAGTTGTAGATTAAAAATGTGATAATGTGTGTCAAATGCTTGGTGCTCAGTAGCTAACAGTCTAGTTATGGGAAAACAGACACCAAGCCAGGGAGGGACTTGTCCTTTAATTTCAGCGCTGAGTAGGCAGAGTCCTGGGCTTCCGTGCCCCTCGCAGTCGGCCTTGGTGAGCCCGGGAGCCAGCTGTGGTGCTGCTAGTTTACCTCTAGGGGTCACTTGGCTGGGGGTTTACTCCTCCCGCGCAAGGATGCAGGCATTCTCTCCATTTTTCATCTTAGGACATGGAGACTCAGATTGGATCAGTGACTTGTTCTAGGCCACACAGATGGACAGGGCCAGAGCCAAGACCCCACCAGGCCGTCCATGACTTGGCTCCTCGGCGGCACTGGGCTTTGGCCTTGTGGGTTCTGCCTCCCGCTCCCAGAAGCGAGTTTAAAGGATGCTCCTCCCCTTCCCGCCTGCCTTCCCGCCCTCTGGCTCCCAGGGAAGGGGAGGAGTTCTCCAGGCGCCGATGACACCGTCGCCAAGGCAACACGGCCATACTGGCCAACCGACCCAGGGGCCTGGGGCTTGCACGGCCGCGGCCTCGTGGGCAGAGCTGGCAGCATGGACAGCCTCTTCGTGGAGGAGGTGGCCGCCTCCCTGGTCAGGGAGTTCCTCAGCAGAAAGGTACGTGGCGCCGCCCTCCACACCTCTGGGCAGTTGCTCTGATTGGGGGAGGGGGGCAGTCTGGGGGAGTTCCCCTGCAATCTCTGCACATTTCGGGAGGGAGACCTTGCCCTACCCGCTGCCTGCCCCAGAGAGAGTTGCCCGACCAAAGCTCCACTTTCCGGGCCGGGAGAACTACATTTCCCAGGAGCCTTTTCTGTCACCGCGCATTTCCCGCAAAGCCGGGCAGGACCGCTGCCGCCCTCCGCGGGCATCTTCCCTTGTGGTCGGCCGGCGGGTCAGGGAGGCTGCCGAGGGGCCGTGGCCCAGCTCCGTGTTCCTGGTATGGCTCCGGGAACCCAGCAGGCAGTCCCGGCCCAAGCCTAGCTGCCCATCTCCATGACCAACCCATCCCAAGACTTATATCCCCGTCAGGAAGCACTGCTCCCCAAAGCGCTAAACTACTATAGTTCTTGACAAACCCTCCAGCCACATCCATCCACAGTGCAGTAGCTTCAGCCTGTTTTAGTTTTAAGCCCTCCTATTGTCTTGTCCCAGGTGAGTTTCCGGAGTACTCAAAAGTCGGGGAGGTGCTTAGCTCCCTTCTGCCCTTCCAGCGGAGACGTGAGAGTCCAGGAAAAGAGGTGGCTGGGGGTCAAGGTGCAATTACTCCTTAGCAAAGGGACTCAAGGCTGGCCATGTATGTGCCTTGTGTGTTTTGTCCTCCTGGTGCCCCCTTGGGCGGGGCAAACGGCAATTGTCTGGGATTAAAATACACAAACAAACAATGTTTTGAATAGAGGAATGGGGAAGGGCTTTGGCCTAAGATGGAGCAGTTCAAATACCCCCTACTAGCTAGCAGTAACTACATGGGTCGTTACTTCCTGCCTCAATTGCCTTATCTGTAAAACAGGAATCAGATTTATCCTTGGCAGATTTATAATGGGGATTAATAATATATGGTCAGCTCCCAAGCGTTACATGGGGCACACAGTAGGTATTTAGTATTGTCTCCCCCCATCTCTGATGTGCACCTGTTTTGAAAGTCTATGTTTTTTTCTAAAGATTTTTACTGGGGTATTGTGGGGAAGGGAACAGTGCTGGGGAATTGGGGGAAGGGGAACAGACAAGTTGCTGTTGTTTTTGTTCTTCAGTCTAGTTGTGGCGGACGTTGCTTCACTGGCCCAAGTTGGCACCATCATTGCGCTCTTCCTGGGTGAGGCAGATCAGTCGCTGGCTTCTGGACGGCCGCTCACTGCGGCTGCTGGCCGCTCACGCTGGCTGCTGGCCGCTCACTGCGGCTGCTGGCCGCTCACGCTGGCTGCTGGCTACACACGGTAGCCCATGGCAACCCACTGCCGCAGTGGCTGCAGCCTACGGCGCCGCCGGCGACTCAGGGCAGCCCAGCTCCAGGTTGAGCTGTTGTTCAGCATCTTAGCTGCGGAGGGCAGTGTCACTGGCCCTCATATGTGGGATCCGAACCGGGGCCCTCTGGCGTCCCAAGCCAGCTCTCAACCATCGCACCACTTGGCTGGCCCTATCTTTGTTTTTTAAACAAGTATTTTTATTAAAAAAATAATTTGAATGCACGTGGCTTCATTGCATCTACTCAGTTTTTATGGCTGATTGACTTTCTCTTACCAAGTCCCTGCCGGACATTGGATATCAGTGACGCACCCTGTGAGGCCTTCTACTACCATCATTTCTTTTAAGTCTGGCCACCACGCAGAACTCTCAGTTTTCCTCATGCCTTTATTGTCAGGAGTCCTCCCCTGATATCCAAGGCTCCCCTACAGCTTGACCCCAGCTTACCATCCCAGTCTCATTTCCAGCTGCTTCCCCATGCGTTTCCCTCTTCCGCCCATAGCCCCCACAAGCCCCATTTCTTTCAAGAGTCCTTCTCTGGTAATTCCAGTTGGAATGGCTGACTCATCTTGTTGGTGGTTTGCTCCCTGATACTCATGTTATAGTTTATACACCTGCCTGTCTCACCTACTAGATAGGTCCACAGAGCCGATGCCTGAACTGGGTGGAACCTTGACAATCGTCCGGCTCACCTGGCCTCTTCTCCCTCCCATGTTTTATCTGAGCACTCTAAGGTCCTGAGAGGAGAAAGGAGTTGCCCACTGTCACTCAGAAAGTTGTGGAGAGCTAGGACTGCTTTTCTCATCATCTGCACCTGGGCAGCGACCAGGTACTCCCCACAGCTTGGCACAAGGCAGGCAGGCACCTAGCAGTTATAACCAAGAGTTCCTATCATGGTACGTAGAACCTCCTAGGCGGCTGTCTGTTTTCTCAACTCCTTATAACAGTCCTGAAAGCAGGTATAATTATTCCCTTTCATGTAAGACTGTCATGAGAGTAGGAAGCTAACAAGCTTGCCCAGGGTGAGCGAGTCAGATCATGTCACTCCTCTGCTCAAAACTCTCCCGGAGCTTCCTGGTACAATTAGAATAAAATCCAAGGAAAGAGCTCACCAGGGCCCGCAAGACTCTCTGTGACCTGGTTCCCAGTTCCCCCCGGACTTCATTTTCCACCATGGCTTCCTCTACCCTCTACCCTACATCATACCCAGCAGCACTGGCCTCCTTGCACTCACCAAGTGTGATCTCCCCTCAGGGACAATCATGATAGTCTCCTCGCAATGTCGGGATCCGCCGAGGTGACTCTTCTGGTACCTCAGCCTCCCAGGTTCGTGACCCTTCTGCAGTGACCAGCCCCATCCAACCTCCACCGCCCTTTCCTGGGGTTCTCCCCTAGGCTTGGTCGTTACCAATACCGCACCCTTTCCGTAGTCTCAGTTCCAAATATCTCATCCTCCTCATGTCCACCTCATCCCCCTTGGCAGTCCGACTTAAACTATTCTTCAACCTCACTCACATGTCCATTCCGTTGTCCCTGCCGCCTTTTCACAGACCCTCAGCCCTGTCAGGACCTCTCTCCACTTCTTACCTGCCCATCATTATAGTCACGCCCTCAGCAGCGTGCTGGACTCCTTTGTCTTTCCCTGATACTGAAGCCAGCTCATTGAAAACCTACCCCATGCCTGCCCCGCAGAGCTGAGGGGGGCTGGAGAAAAATACACCGGCGTCACTCTAAATTCATGGCCACTCACCCACATGATGCCGTGAATTTAGAAAATTTCTCCACTCCTTTTCCAGATGCCTGCCCACCCGGTTACACCGCTCTTGCCTGTTCAGTCTCTCAAGTCTCGGATGAGCATTTCATACCTTCTCTCTCCTCAAACCCCAAAGCTGCTTTACCACCTCATTTCACGGAGCACGTAGACGCAGTCATGAGAAAACGCCAACAGGCTCCCACCCCACACTTACCAGCCTTCCGGAGGCTGAAACACTCCCTCTGCCCTCCCTCCTGCTCTTCTGAAGGAATTCTCCAGACCCATGGGTGAAGCCAGCCCCTCCCTGTGTGCCTGTCCCCAGTTGCGTGCTCAAGGACACTGTTGATTTATCATCTCCTCTCTCTATTGCATCATACATTTTGCCTCCTCTACTATCACTCCTACAGAATCCCATCTTGACCCCCGAAGCCCTGCCGGCTACTAGTCCATTTGTCTTCAACTGTTTACAGCAAAGCCCCATGAAAGAGCTATGTCTGTTCTGGTGCCAGTCCTCCTCCCTGCTTTCTCAAACCCAGGCCAAGCAGGCTCCTGTCACCACCAGTCCAGGGAAGCAACTCTTGTCAAGTTATGTCAATGACCTTTAATTTTCCGTCCTCACACTTCTTGATCTAACAGTTGTGTTTGGCACCGTTGATGACGTCCTTCTTCCTGGAGACTTGTTCCATTTGGCTTCTGTAGACCACCGCCTCCTGGTTTCCCTCGTCTACCTCTCTGGTCACTCCTTCTCAGTTTCTTTTCTGGTCCCCCTAATTTTCCTGAGCTGTGCATGCTGGTGGGCTCAAAGGCTCAGTCTATGCTCTCTTCTCTTCTCCACTCATTTTCCAGGTGCCTCCACCGGCCCTGTGGGTTTACCGTCAATATCCTGACAATTCCCAAATGTCTATCCTAGCCAAGACCTCTTCCTGAACTCTTACATTCTTTCCAACTGCCGATTTTACATGTGCACTTGGACATCCAATAAGTACCTTAACACGTCCAAACCTCAGTTTCTGATTCCCCCTACCTCTTGCAATTTTCCCCGCCTCCGTAAGTAGCATCCACCATCCTTCTGGCTGCTTGGGCCAAAACCTTTGGAATCGTTCCTGGCTTTTTTCCTTCTTGTGAACCCCTCCAGTCCATCAATAAATCTGTTGGCTTTACCATCAGAGCACATAGAGAATGTAGACACTTCTTTCTCCTTCTGCTGTCACCACCCTGGTCCAAGCCACCTCCATCTTTTGTGTGAATTGTTCAAGAGCCTCCTAACTGGTCTGCTTACTCCCCTGCCTTCAACAGTCTGTTTTCAGTGTAGCAGCTAAATGATCCTATACAAATACATGTCAGCCCAGGGTGCTTCTCTTTTCAACTCCTCCAGTAGCCCCTCAGCTCACAAAAGCCAACAAGGCCTTCCCTGATCTGGGCGACCTCTCTGACTTCATTTCCTGCCATTGCCCCTGGTCATGCAGCTCTAGCTGTACCAGCTTCCTGTGACGGCCACAGGGACTTTGCACTTGCTGTTTCCTTGCCTAGAACATTCTTCCCCCAAGTGTCTGCGTGGCCTGCTCCCTTCCTTTTCTCATGTCTCTGCTCGAATATCACCTAATCATGAAGCTTTTCCTGACCACCTTTTATGAAGTAGCCACCCTTCCCTGCACTTCTTCCTGGCTCTCTCTATCTCATACTCTGCTATGTTCCCCCCCTTCCCCCCAGTATATTATACTTGCTGGCCTTTCCCTATAGAATGTTAGCTCCACGAGGGCCAGGACTTTGATCTGCTCACTCCTCTGCCTCCAGCAGCTGAACCAGTGGACTAGTGGTTCGTTCCCTTCAGTTCATCGATGGGTAAACTGGAAGATAGGCGTGAACACGAGAATGAGGCTCAATAAGTAGCTGTCTAAAATTGTGTCCTTCATCTTTATCACTGCTCTCGCTGTTTTATTTGTCTCCATAGTATTGTATATTAGGAACTGCCATACTGTAAATTTACCCCTTGCTGTGGTCTGCTTTCCCATCGGAATGTCAGCTCCATGGCAGGGCGTGTGTGTGTGGGGGTACTTTGTCTTTTTCCTTCTGTATCTCCTGCATTTAAAACAGCCTAGCACATAGTAGGTGCACGACTAATGTTTATTGAGTGAATGAAGATTAAGTGGGCTGATGGGACTGAGGACTGGCCGATTCCCGAGGGTCCACGTGCACCCCCCCCAGTGGTTTTCAAATGCCAGTGTGCACCATAGTGCTGGAGAGTTTTCTGAATGTGCCAAGACTTGCTGACCTGAACTGTCGACAAACTGTTATCCAGCAGAGAGGGACCCTCATTATAGAGGCTTCCACCTCACTTTGATTGGCAGGAAAGCCATGGTTAAGCCCAGATGCGATGCTCGTGCTTTTCCCCATTTCTTCCTGGTCCCCCCTCCCTAAGGCCTTCTCTTTATTCTCCTTGGCTCAAGGTTGTGCTCGTACCTTCTGTTTCACAAATTCTTCCTGCCTCAATTCATGGCAGGCGGCAGGTTTTGTCTTGTCTTCCTGGAGCTTCTGCAAAACTCTGAACACAAAGGCTAGAGGAGAAGGCGAGGTCTGCCTGGCACTGGGGTTGGATCTTTCCAGAGCAAAGGGCTCCCTTTAAGCCCGGCTGAGCGGTTGGTGAGGCATCTCTGCCTCATCCCCCACCATTCAGGAATCACCGTGGCCGGGTGAGGTGGGCAGCCTCAGCGGCTGTAGTCGTTTTTCAAATGAAGAAGCCAGGCTTTCAGGAGAACTGTACTTCCATTGCCAAAGTGTGTCTTCGTTGGGCCTTCTGGGAGTTCAAGGCTGGATGACGGAAAGCAGCCTCCTGTGGGCCTGGGTCCCAGAACCTCGGACTCACAGGCTGGGGCGGTCAGAACCTTTGGCTGTGCGATTCCACAGTGTTACCTTGGGAAAATCAACTGTGGCTTCCCACTTGAGAAAAGAGGGTCATGAATATTGGCCTTTTGTTTATGTTTTTCGTTTTATTTGGTTTTCAAGCTTCATATTCTGCAGCCCCAAACCTAGAGCCAAACTCAGGGCTGCTGAGCAGCCTTGGGTGAGTCAGTTACTTGAATTTCACTTTCCTTGGCTATAAAATGGCCTGACAATACCAGTCTTACTGGCCCATGGAGTCACGTAAGATTCAGAATAGTAATTGCGAAGATGGTGTCAAGTGGAAAGGTCATATAAAAATAAATTCTTAACTCAGTTTTTGGTCTTTGCGATGTCCTTGTGAGGAAGGCAGGATAAGAAGGATCGTAATGAATATTAGCCTTTTGTTTATACTTTGCGTCAGAGAGCAGAAGGTTTTGATTTCAAATGGAAATAATGATTCAATTTTTTTTCCCTCAGGGCTTAAAGAAGACATGTGTGACCATGGACCAGGAGCGCCCACGCTCTGATCTCAGCATAAACAGCAGAAACAACCTCCGCAAGGTTTTACATCTTGAATTTCTCTACAAGGAGAACAAGGTACGTGCTTTTAACATGTGGTGTCATGTTCGGGAACTGAGTTTGGCAATGTCAAAGCACTCATGAGCCCTGCCAAGCCACCAGAGACGGGTGGCAGGTGGCGAGCCACACCTGCTTTCAGGGCTGACAAATTTGAAGCATGAGTCGGGTTTTCATCCTTAGGCCTCTGGGCCGCCCCCACAGACATATTGCGCATGTGCAGCCTTGAGGTTCATTTTGAACCTGAACCTGTAGTAGTTTAGTTGTTCCCTCTGCTCCCTCCTCCCGCATGAGGCTATTTTTAGTCAGACTGTATTTAAGAATATAGTATTAAGTTATACTAAAAATTTCCATTCCCGTGCTCACTTGGGCAGCGCATATACTAGAATTGGAATGATACAGAGATTAACATGGCCCCTGTGCAAGGATGACACGTAGATTCGTGAAGTGTTCCATATTTTTAATAAGAAAAAGAAAAAATAAAATAAAAAATTCCATTCTCTGCCTGCGTAAGATTTCCTTCCGTTCTGAGGAATACCTTATTCTTGAGTCTATTGTTAAGTTTCATTCAGGCGGAAGCGAGGCTTCGGCTCAGCTCTCCCAGGTGCATCGGGGTTGAGAATGGGCGAGACTTCCCTGAACCCCAGCCTCAATTCCCTCACCCCATTACAAGCCTGCGTGGCACCCCGTGGTTTTCATTTGTTGTGCTTGTCACCCGTGTAATATTATGAGTATTCGGGTGGTGGTTTAATTAGTACTGCCTCCGCTGCCAACCTTGAACACATCAGGAGGCTAGAGATGGTGTCTCTTTTGTTCACATTGTATCCCCATACTTAATATGTTGCCTGATGATGTAGTAAATAGTCACTACTTACTTGTGGATTACACGGCGGACTGACTGAATGAAGCTGCCATCGGACTTAATTGCTCTTTCTGTTATGAAGACAGAATCTTCTATTTGATTTAAGACTGGGCTGTCCAGCAGATGTTGCCTTGTGGTAGGATAGGGCAGAGTTGGAAGGAACCTAATAATCATGCAGTTTAGCATTTATCACCATTTTTTTTTAAAGGAAATAAAATGATGTCCCTTGCAGAATTCCAATAAGCAAAACGAAGAAAGGAAGCAGCCCTGTTTGAAGAGGGGAGGAAGAGATCCCACCTTCTTGGCCTTCTGGGGCAGCCCCTCAGGCCTGAGCCATGTAGTTTCTAAATCGCTGATAGAATGGAGACCCCCCCCCCCCGGGGTGCTGTGAGCCAGAGAAAAGTGGCTTGTCAAAGTCTCACGGGCAGTTATAGGGTAGGAGTGAGTCTAGAACCAGATCTTCTAATTCCCAGTCCTATTGCAGTGATGGAAGTCAAGCTTCCTTTAATTGTAACCCTTTTCCCAAATGAAACCTTAGCAGACTGGGTTGGTATGGGGCTGGGACACCCCCTAGCCCTCCAAGGCTGTTTCTGAAACACCCGGAAGAACCTCAGAACAGTTTGAAAACCCCCCATGTGCACATCATCGCTCAGGGAGGAGCTCAGGCCAGGTTGCCTTCAATGAAGTGAAGGGTGGAATTGCAGGCAAACTCATAAACCTCAGCCAACTGGTATCAACCTTCAGGACCATTCAGGTTGCCAGAAGTTCTTGTGCTCCACCTGGAGGGGAAAGGGCGATGGCACCCAGGTGAAGTCTTATCAGAGGCTCAGTAAAGACAACAAATAGAAGCCCTTTGTCCTCTAGTCCTGGGTGACCCTCTGGCCCCTCTGCCTCCTATATGCACTCAGCTGAAGTCCTGTGGAAAGAAGACAGTTGACCCAAGCAGCAGATATCCAGAAATCTTCATTTGCTGCATTTTAAGGCAGAGACTGGACTGTACATTTTAGAAAGATTCTTCCCCTGAGAGGGAGACAGTTA